ATATTTTGAGAGAAATGAGATGTTTTGATTGAAATGAGAAATTTTGAGAGAGAGATATTTTGAGAGAAAAGAGATATTTTTGAGAGAAAAGAGATATTTTGAGAGAAAAGAGATATTGAGATATTTTGAGAAAAGATGAGATATTTTGAGAGAAATGAGCGAAGGAGTGTCTTTGTCTCTGAGGACATTCAGTTGGTCACAGCTGCGGTGTTGCCCAAGGGTGTTGAAGCGGGGTCCTATGAAGGGAGTCTTATATATCGAGTAGATATCAGGGTCCCACCACATCGCGACACTGACGGAGGGTTGGCAGGTCGGGCTCTCTGCTGGGTTCTGTTTCCCACTTTGTCTGGGAGGCTGTCGGTGCGATCTTCGGTGTTCCATGTAGACCCAGTCTCCGTGTGGAATTCTGAGCAGTAGATCGAAGGCGACGTTCACTTCTGCACTCAAAGCACGCAGCAGATTTCCGATGCTGGGTTCATACCCTGACCATCACCTCTATTGGGACAGGGAGCGAGATATTCTGTGAGATGAATGGACAGACTCCTGTGGGAACAGACCCTACTCCCACCGAGGGTCCTACGCCTCCTGCCACGTGAATGTCACCTCGTGTACCCTCTACCAGGACTCTTATTTGTCAGGGATCGACTCATTAAGGGCGCGTTCTAATGAGTCGGCACATGCAACAACATCAGGATCTTGAGGGTTCAGCAGGTTTGCCCATGAATGAGGTCCCCGTTATTGTTCTGGCATTGGGAGAGAGTATGGTGATGTGATCACGTGCTTAATTCTTACAAGGACCGGGAAGTGCGTCGGCTGATAATTAACGAGCTGTGCTTTGCTTGGGGGTTAATGCTCCTGGACAGCGGGTTCTGCGCGGAGACAATGGCCTTGGTCCTTCTCAGGCATCTGGGGTCTTCGGGTCGCTTCTGTTTGCTATGACAGCAGGTCTCCTTTTCTCAGTATATATATATATATATATATATATATATATATATATATATATATATATATATATATATATATATATTATATATATATGTATGTGTGTGTGTGTTTGTGTTTCTATGTGTGTGCTTGTGTTTCTCTCTCACTCTGTGTGTGTGTGTCTGTAGACATAGATATAGATATATAGATATACATATAAATGCATAGATATAAATGTAAACGTATAGATATAGATATATAGCTATAGATAAAGATATATAGATATAGTTATATGTACATACACACACACGCACAGATATATATATATATATATATATATATATATATATATAATATATATATATATATATATATATATATATATATATATATATATATATATATATATATATATATATATATATATATATATATATATATATATATATATATATATATATATATATATATATATATATATATATATATATATATATATAGTATGTATGTATGATTGAACGAAAAACATTAATAGGGCCAAATGAGTCAACTACAAAAGGCAAATGCGATTATAAGATTTAGCATGATTAATACGTAACTAATATCTTAATCAAATATTTGAAAAGAAGTGTATTGAAAAGTTTTTAAAACCAGATGGAAAACGTTTCGTTCCATTTACCTTTCATTGATGTAACTACACCATTGATAAAAGTTTTGATGTCATTGGCCACTGCTTCCTTCTCTCTCTCTCTCTCTCTCTCTCTCTCTCTCTCTCTCTCTCTCTCTCTCTCTCTCTCTCTCTCTCTCTCTCTCTCTCTCTCTCTCTCTCTCTCTCTCTCTCTCTCCCTTCTTCGTTTCATAGTTTTCCAAACCAACCTAACCATAATTTCTTCTGTTATATTTGTATACCATTAATCCTGAGTGTTTAATTCTGGCTCTGAAATGTGCATGAACTGTTGTCTGAAGCGTTCCTACTTTATTTTTCACACAACAGTATACAGTTACACCAAAAACGCTGACACCGAAAATTCCCGTCATATAAGATCGTGTGAAAAAATCTTTTTTCTATATGTCGGTTCGACTCTTTAAACTTAATAATTATTCCAAGTATCAAATAACACACATGCACACACACATCAGTCTCTTCTTCTGTCTGTCTCTCTCTCTCTCTCTCTCTCTCTCTCTCTCTCTCTCTCTCTCTCTCTCTCTCTCTCTCTCTCATACAGATATAAATGCATATACGTCACACCAAGTCGTGTATGACTGAGCTCGACGTTAGTAAACGCCTTTTCACAAAATCACTTCCAAAACATGTCCCTTTGACAAGCGAATCTCATAGAATGAAGACTCTCCGTGCCTCTACTCTCCTACTCTCCTCTCCTACTCAGAATTTGTGAAATTGTGAAAGTCTGCCTCTGTATAGAATGCTGGATTCATATCTGGACAAGTCCTCTTTGATAAGGCTTCCACATGTCATTCACTCGAGGGCTCTATGTCTTATCAGTGCCTCAGCCTTGTCTATCTCTACGACCTTTAAGACTCTTAATCAAGATGTTTCAACTCTGGGGTTCTCGAGTCACTCGGGGGAGGTAGAGATACGTACATGCTGCAGTCACACACACTCGTACACACATGCTACACATACACACACTGCATACATACTAATACACGGATACTTCATACACACACATATACATACACACACACACACACACACACATACACACACACACACACACACACACACACACACATAACACAACACACACAAACACACGCATGCACGCACGCACACCGACAAATCACCAACATTTTTTAGAATGATAAAGAAGATAGTGAACAACCTTTTAACTTTCATTTTTACAAGCTGCAGTTCTATGTCTTTCTGTTGCCAGACCCTCAACAAAAAAAAAGATTTTTTCTCTCCTGCAGTACATTCGTGCTTAGGAGTGGTACTGTACAGACCTGGTCGATTCCTCATGAATATTTTCTCTTGACCTCTGCAATAACTTCCTTCTTGTTTCTCCCCTCCTCCCCCTCTCCTCACCTTACCTCCCTCCTCTCTCTCTCTCTCTCTCTGTCTCTCTCTCTCTCTCTCTCTCTCTCTCTCTCTCTCTCTCTCTCTCTCTCTCTCTCTCTCTCTCTCTCTCTCTCTCTCTCTCTCTCTCTCTCTCTCTCTCTCTCTCTCTCTCACTCTCTCTCTCTCTCTCTCTCTCTCTCTCTCTCTCTCTCTCTCTCTCTCTCTCTCTCTCTCCTCTCTCTCTCTCTCTCTCTCTCTCTCTCTCTCTCTCTCTCTCTCTCTCTCTCTCTCTCTCTCTCTCTCTCTCTCTCTCTCTTCTCTCTCTCTCTCTCTCTCTCTCTCTCTCTTCTCTCTCTCTCTCTCTCTCTCTCTCTCTCTCTCTCTCTCTCTCTCTCTCTCTCTCTCTCTCTCTCTCTCTCTCTCTCTCTCTCTCTCTCTCTCTCTCTCTCTCTCTCTCTCTCTCTCTCTCTCTCTCTCTCTCTCTCTCTCTCTCTCTCTCTCTCTCTCTCTCTCATCCTCTCCAAGGAATCTTGTATAACGACGGCATTCTATTTAATTCAGTTTAATGGTTAAATGTCAGTTGCTGAAAATTGTTTTCTTTTTATTTCCTCTTTCTCTAAAAATAGAAAGGAAAAATGCAATAAAGAAAACAAGAACCTGTATCTGTCAACCTGCATATATGTGTCTAAAGCTTTATGTCTAAATGTATATGTTTGTTTATCGTTAGCTATGAATGTATTTCTGCAGGATATCTACGTTTTTTTTCTTCCTCCCTCCCTCCCTCTCTCCCTCTTCTCTCTCTGTCTCGCCCTTCTCCTTCTCTCCCTTCTCTCCTTCCCTCCCCCCTTCTCTCTCTCTCCCTCCCCCCTGTCCCTCTCTGTCTCTTTCTCTCCCTCCCTCCTCCCCTTTCTCTCTCCTTCTCTCTCCTTTTCTCTCTCCCTCCCCTTCCCTGTCTCTCTCTCTCTCTCCTTCCCTCCTCTCTCCTTCTCTCTCTTTCTCTCCTTCCCTCCCCCCTCTCTCCCCTCTTTTTCTCTCTCCCTCACCCCCCCCTCTCTCTCTCTCCCTCCCCCTCTCTCTCTTCTCCTCTCCCTCCCCCCCTTCTCTCTCTCTCTGTCTCTGTCTCTCCCTCCCCTCTCTCTTTCTCTCTCTCTCTGTCTCTTTCTCTCCTTCCCTCCTCCCCTTTCTCCCTCCTCTCTACTTTTCTCTCTCCCTCCCCTCCTCTGTCTCTTTCTCTCTCGTTTTAAGGGTTGTTAAGTTGTCATGGCAACGCTCTTCTTCTTTCGTTACATTTCTCAAATATTTCTTTCCAACATCGTTATCCGTGTAACCTTATTGCAGAGTAGAAACCATTAGATATACTCATTATATACCTATTACATTTTTGCTGATATACCTTTCTTATTTTCTCTATTTCCTCTCAGATTGTGGAAAAAATTGTATAGTCATTGAGAAGATATTTATAGTTATTTTTTAATGGATCCATTACTGAGTTTTGATTTTTAAAAGAAGCTTGGTAAGAAGCTAACCTGGATAAGGTCATTTCTGAAGAAGGTAATCAGTGAGAAGAGATCTATGGGAAATATTATGTTTTTTATTTATATTTTAATTTCTTTTTATTGTATTCTGATAAGCATTTATAATGTTTCATCGCGCAAACAGAATTATCAAATCCTGGACATTGACTATATCTAGATATAATTCGAGCTACCAAGTCCCTTATAAATCACGTGAGAAGAATCTAATTTGTAAGTTGCAGGTAGAGATTACCTGTTTGAATACTTTCGTGAAATCGAGTTTCCAGCGACCAGATCCCTGCGGCTGGCTTTGGCTTCGGCTGGAAACACTTCTTTCTCTTTCCATGACAGTCTGAACACATACATTTAACACAATAGAGATGGGAGTTAAACAGGAAAAAAAAGAAAAAAAAATATATACATGCACACACACACACACACACACACACACACACACACACACACACACACCACACACACACACACACACACACACACACACACACACACACACACACACACACACACACACACACACACAC